CAAGGAGACAATTTGTTATTATCTCGATTTTTTCGAATCATGAAGCGAGAATTAAATGAATGAAAGTTTTATTTGTAATGCAAACTTTTCCAGGATTGATCGAAAAACTGCCTAATCTCACAAATAATTTAAACTACCAATAAGCCTTGAAGCCCGGCCAAACGCACGCAACATTTCGACGCAATAACGTGGTATCGTGTTGAGAGAGATTCGGAATCCGTAGGCTTGAAAACGCGCTTCACATCTTGCAACATTTCATGGGTTTGTCTGAGTCGGTCAAACTTTTCCCGATTTTTTTCCTTAATTCCTTCGTGACCTTCCTAACTAGCTCTATTGAAAGAGATGTGAGCGTGTTAAGAAAATCCAGCAATCTTTTAAAAATTGGAATAAATTCAATTTTAGAAAGATTTTACGGTCATTATATAAGGGCTTTCATCCTAACTAATTAACGTTTACCGCAGGAATCTGCACAACTCGATGCCGTTTTGTTATCATATTCATGATTATTCTCAGTTTCTTGGGGCCAGTTTAATTAATATGCCTCGGGAAGAGAAAACATTTACTCCGTCAAAAAACAATTATCTGTTTCGTTCAATTAGCTTGGCGTTTTCAAGTTTATGCATTAGTTGTAAATTGTAGGAAAATTGGACTGCAAAAGCAAGTATCATTGCGTTTTCAGCAAACGAAACTAATTGAAAAGATTGAAAAAATTGAGCGTAACTATCGGCGAGTAAAAAGTCTTCTGCTTCCCCTGGTGTGTTGCAGAAAGTTGGGAGACCTGACAAAGAACCAGCGGTCATCAGTATTCTCCTTGAAATTTAATCAGAAATAAAGAATTATTGGGGTTTCATTTTTTGGACAAACAGTTGTCATTCCTTGTCGTCGCCTTTGATAAGTCTTTATAGAAGAAAAATATAGATGTACCTAAAGGTCCATGGTATGTCCTTCGTAGTTATCTTCTCGCATCCCTGCCAGTCGGGGCGTCTACGAGGTTCTAATATAGTTAAAACCTGACTGACAGCTGTCACTAATGTCTTTTTAAGAGTATGAAAAAAGGAACTCACTCAAAAGACAATCACTCAGTTTTTTGTTTTGGTAGCCTTCCCGACCAGAGAGGTAATGTATGTACATATGTTTGTATGGCAGGTAATTGTTCAAATATCAAACAAAAGTACAGTATTCATATCAAACTTTTTCCCTTACGATAGCAAGCTCGTTGGGTAAGTAAACCAGTAAATGATATAAATTTTTACGGGGAAGAATAACGGGAGAAACAAGGATTATTAAATTTTTTGGACATCAACAATCTACGTATATGAGCACGATCCTTCGCAGTAAAGCACTATTTGAGCAATAGTGAAAATCAGACCTGAAAAAAATTTCAGGCCTGTACGGGATTCGAACCACTGACCTCTGCGATACTAGTGCAGCGCTCTACCAATTGAGCTAACAAGCCAACTGGGAGCAGGCCCAGTTCTAGATCGTAAGAAATAGATCAATAATCTATTCATGTTCGTGTTGAAGGAAAATCATAAATGAATATTTCTTTTCGGCCTTAGTTGCTAAGGCTTTGAGCAATTTGGCAGTGCATTTGGGACTTTTATATTTAAAGCTAAAATTAAAAGCGGGGCGGTTAATTAATTCTTCGATTTCTGGCCAACCATACTACCCGTTCTAGTTTAGACAGCTTCCGCTGGGAATGTTTCTTTTTTGTGTTTTTTGTGTTTTTTTTTTTATTATTATTATTAATATTATTTTAGTGATAAAAGTAGTGGCTCAGCAGTTTGTCAAACTGTCTCAAATGTAAATTTTGTTAGCGTGATTGTAAAGTTGTAAATACTCGTAACTATCAGATGTTAATCATGAGATTCAGATATTCGTGTTTTTTTGCATTGATATATCTCGAGACCATTCATCTTCGACACCTCTCATGATAATGATGTGACTATGCTTAAATCACAGCAATCTGTCGATATCGCATGATAGATATAGTTTGGCTTCAAGTGAGTAGACCAGTTTCTCGTATGTAGCATCCTTGACACTCACAGGAATAAGCGTAAACATAGTTAGCCGAACAAGCCTTTTTGCCCTTTTTTTTTGGGGGGGGGAGGCCAACAGAGGAGTGGGGTGAGTTAAGCTCCAAAAGATGGGCGCCAAACAAACGGCGCCTGCGGGCCTGCACGCACGCAATTGTTTTGTCTATTTCGCCTACAGACCCTCATATCACTTGCCGTGATTGGTTAACGGAGGGTCTCAATTGGGGAGTAGCTCTGTCAGTTGACGGTAATTTTTTTTTTCATTGCGTTCAAGAACTATCTTTGATCAGAAGCACCTGAAGTGAGACCTGGAATCTCTTGAAACCGTTGAGAGTTGATATTTCGCATGTTGTTATCACAGTTGACGCTAAAACTGCCCCTTTGAACCGTGAAATTATGAGCCTTTTTTGCGGCAAGCTATTAGCACTCTTGAGACACTCTTATCCTGCTAGCTTTGCTGCACGCTAGTAGTGTTGTAGGAGCTCTGAGCATGCTGGGTAGCCACAAGAGGAATGGGAAGGAGAATTTGCATATATGGACCACCATTGCATTCATGTTGATGTAACACACACAAAGCTGCCAGTCACGATGGTAACACTGCCCTCGCATGACCTTCTTTGCTCGTGGTGTTATTGAAGTCTGCACAGGAGAGCGGCGAGAGAAAGAGAAAATAGAGGATCCTTGGGGCTTCGCGCCACCACCCCTTGCGTTCTTGAAGAAACATATACAAAACCGCCAACCACGATGGTTACTCTACCCCTCCTCCCCTGCATAAGCTGTTTTACTGGTGGTATTATGGGAAGTCTAAGTCGGGGAGCAGCTAGAAGAATGGGAAGAAGAAAGTCCCGCGAGGCTTGACAGCACCGCCGCTTGTGTCCTTGTGAAACACACACAAAACCGCCAGCCACGACGATGACACTACTTACCCCCCCCCCCGCTCTCGCATAATCTGCTTTACTAGTGGTATCATGGGAAGTCTGAGTAGGTAGCAGCGAGGGGAATGGGAAGAAGAAGGTCCCGCGAGGCTTGTGCCCTGATGAAACTCGCACAAAACAGCCCACCACGGCGATCACACTGCCCCCGCACAACCTGCTTTGCTTATACCGGAAGTTTAAGCAGGGAAGTAGCGATAAGAATTGCCGGAAAAGGAAAGTCTTCCGAGGCTTAACACCACCACCGCTTCTGTCTTGATGAAACACACGAAACTGCCAGCTGCAATGGCTACACTGTCCCTGCATTACCCACTTTGTAATGATGTGATGGCTACACTGTTCCTGCATCACCCACTTTGTAGTGATGTGGGAGGTCTAAGCAGGAGAACAGCGAGCAGAATCGCCTCAAGGGCTTCGTGCCGTCGCAGCCATCGTTTTGATGAAACACGCGGCAAAAACCACCAGCCACAATGGTTACACTGCCCCCACATGGAAAACACGTGTTCACGGACGCCTCTGCTTTTCGTGTGAAGCAGACTGATTATTCTTGATGAGAAACAAGGGAGACTGAAACACTTGTCATGTTCTGAGAGTTCCGTCACGCAAACGAAGGAAACTTCATTACCATTCAACAAGTCATAAGACTTCACGAAATATCACAATAATAGGTGTATTGAACTCTAGGAAAACTGCCAAGTAACGGCACTAAGCGGATAACAATTTGAAAATTCTGAAATATTTCGAGCGAAGACCTCTCTGAAAATATCTGTATATTAATCAATGTATTGTAATCAACTTGCGTGTCGATCGGCGGGAAACTCAGCTTGGCGTGGAATATCTATATTCAACACTTACAGTCAGTTTGACGTTTGACACTGACTCGCTCATAAGGTCGAAAGATGACTATTTCCTTGTAATTTTCAATGCTGTTAGATTTGTTCTCGAACCGAAATTGTTAGTTACATTTTTCCAAATGGTTACGTATTTCAGACTCGCACGTGAGTCTGATGCATTTTAAATGAATAGAACGCCTCGTGGAATTTTCAAGATGTTACTGCAGCTGATAGCCATGCGTGACCTTTGAAACAATGCAAGTATCAATGACGACTGTAAAGAGACGAGCGTACCGCAGAAAGTAAAAGCGAACAGGAACAGTTTCTCTACCCTACATTTACATGAAGTTGTTCTAATATTTCATCCAGTTGTGTGTTCTGTCGATCGACCAAGACTTATGAAACAACAGGGTCGCCTATACGCGGAAAATAATCCGCAACTTAGACTAATGGCTGCTACAGACATCAGACGCCAACTCATATAACGTTATGGCACATTTTTATAAACTGTGGCTTGTGTGTAAACAGCCCTTATGTTTGTCTTTGATACACCTTTACAAAAACCATTTTTTCAGACCAAGCTTCAAGTTAGAAAATCAGAATACGTTTATATGTACCACTCACTGCTTCATCAGACGCAGTTGGCGCATAGTATCAACTTTCCTTAAAAAAAAAACAAAACAAAAGAAAAATATTTTGTATTCAGGGTCTGAGGGATAAAAGTTCTATTTTAAAAATATTTCAAAACACCCTTTCAATAAAAGTGCTGCCTCTGGCAAGTGCCAGCAAAAAAGGTCAAATTTACCATAGTAACTCGACAGGCGTAAACAACATTGACTCCCGCCAAAACACACCTCATGTTTGTCACATTTGCGAGCACATGAAATAGAACGTAATACTTAGAATCTTCCCTCTCGACTGCAGCTGACCGACATTTTTTCGTTTTCTTTGAGTTTAGAAGCTGAAGTGACACACCGACTGCACACTTGTATTCCGCTTTCTATCTTAGTAGAAAACGTACTTTGTCACTATGTCTGAGAGTAGAGAACGAGATAATCCGTTTGTGCTGTTCAGTCCAAGTTCTACTTTGTTTACTAATTTGATTGACAAGGTAGAAGTTCCTTTTGTCCTGATCCTGTTTTGATTGGGTCTTGCGACGAAGAGACCCTTATGGCAGATGTTAAGCAATCTAATTGGTTAAATCATTATTCGCGCGCAAATCGTGGGTTTGAAAGCTCTCTTGGCGCTTCAAACCCTAACACATCAACAAGTTACGTAGCAAGTAAGTGCACATTCAACTCTTTTCGTCTCTGATTTTTTTGTTCCTTTTATCGGCAGGATCCCACCTCAGCAGCCTTATCCTATTTTTGTTTTTCTACCTGGCTCTCTGGGTTTAAGATCACTGTCATTTCTAGTGAGTAAATTTGCGTAGAAGAATGTTTAAGGCACGCGAATGCTAAATTTTGGCGCCAAAATGATTCGGCTAAAAAATTAGGTTTTCAATGCAACCTAGCTAAAAATGTTTTCTCTGAATTGAAACGATAAACGACCTTTGCTTTGCACATAATCGAGAGCCTTTTATCCTTCTTAGTTTGATCTAGTGACGTTCAAAGATTTCGATCGCTTATTCGATAATGGATAGTCCGCCAACCAAACCAAACCTCGAAGACAGCGGATGTGCTCTCCTGGATGGCAACTTGGAAGGCGAGAATACAATGGTACGTCGTTTTAACTCACAATTTCACTCTATATCGCAACTGATACTTCACTTCATACTTGTTTATATCTTTAGAGCACGTGGTGTTCCCTCGTGTCATTAACATAGCTCCTTTCACCTGGCTCAAGATCAGTTTCTAGACGAGTATCTGTGTGCCATAATAATCACTGTATTTTTGAGGATTTTTGAACGGTATTTCTACTTTTCCGATCGCTATTGAAGCCTTTTTATCGTTTGAATGAATGCGTAGTACTGTTGTTATGCCGTGACGTCACTCGGTTGCGGAGGCTAATTAGCGCGGTAGCTGTCGGCTGAGTCGATCGAACCACGTGTTGGATCGGGGTGAATGCTGGAGAAGTTAGAAGTGAATTTTGTTGTAATTTATCGATCCAGCAAACATGACTTCGGTAAGTGTGTATAGATGGTGCTTTTGGCATCCGATCTTTAATTAATTGATGCTCCAGCAAAGCGTGAAAATTGTGTAGTGGACTTTATCATATGAGTAAGAATTGAATAATGTCCTTTGTAGGGGTTTTTATCGAATTTTATTCTAGTTTTCATTTCTTGACCGGTCTCATTCCTAAAGCAAGTTAAACAGTATTGTTTCAGTGACTTTTAGTAAGTGAGATCGAAATATTCTTCCCCAAACTTGAACGTTTTACTCTGCGAAGTCCCGCTCGCCTGCATTCCTTAGATTATTCCATGACATGTAAATAAGTGGCAGGGTATTCTGCAGTTACTCCGTTTTGCTCTTTTTCATTCGTGCGGTTAGAAATGTTATGAATGGTTTAGTCTTTAATAATCTCTGCAGTTTTCGGTCTTTCATCGTACCCTAACAATTTGGTAATTTGCGCAATAATATACGTGCACAGGAGCGTGAGTAGCTAATGCTGTTAGCTTGGCTCATTCGCGAAAGAATGGTTAGCGATCTTGTCTACGAGAGTTCTTTATGAAAGATTTCCGTATAACTCCTTACCAATAAAAAACAAAGCCGTAGTCCTAAAGGAAATCTGTTGTTTTGCCTCTACTTTCCTTTATCCAAGAATTGAATGCATAATGAAGTATGGGGTTATACGGAGATCTTGCTGTTCTTTTTGCTGGATATCTAGAATATTTGATAGCAAATTACGAAACAAACAAGAAAATGTTCAAAATATTTTGTTATAGGGTGGTTCACGAAGACCACACTAATTCAATTGCCTGTTCATCGTGAACTGGTCAGCAGATCTTAGAAATTTGGTTTGGTTAAGTCTAGTTGGACTTGAAGTAGAATTTGAACTAAGATAGTTTCCGCCGGATGAAATTTTTACAATCTGCGAACAACAAATCACACGAAGCAAATTAATTAATCATGCAAATTGGTTATCAGTGACACTGTATCATAAGAATCTTACTGGAAATAAGACTGGAGAAGACCTCTTTAGACTTTGAAAATGTGAATTAATTTGCGTCTTCCTCGTTAAAGGAAACTATTACATGGAAGATTATGCAAAGAGACTTCAACCAACACTAGCCTTAAAGGATTATGGTTGTGGTTACTGATGCTTGACCTTAAAAAAAAGTATAAGCTACTAGTTTCCAATAGATTACAAAGTTTGGATTTGATTTGGACTTTGAGTGAAATTCCTAGATGAATTTCCATGCAGATAAATTATCTCTTTGCATGATTATTGCAAATAAATAATTTTGAGTGGTTTGATGACCTCTACTGATATCACCCTTATTTGTTGACCCTTTTTGACTTTGAGAATTTTTTCTCTTGTTTTGAATCTTAAATGGTTTTACTTAAGCTGCTGTAGTACCAGAAAACAATTGTTGCAAGGATTGAATTTTTTTTTTCATTGATTAGATTTGTTCCACTGACAACTTGTATAGACAGGTTACTACAGCAACAAAGTTGCAATTGTTTCTAGAGTTAGTTTCTTAAAGGATCCCTTCCAACCACAATACCCTGCGCGCCCAAACAGAAAAAATAATGAAGAAATAACTAGTCAAATAGAAAGAACAATAAATTTGGAATGCGATTGAGGAAATTCAAGACCTCAGTGAGGCAAATGTACTCGGATGAACGAGGATTTCTTTCCACTTCACGACTTGTCCAATACCGGATGGCAGAGAAAATGGCGGATTTCACATATCGCGCGCGCAATGTATTGTGGTTGGAAGGGATCCTTTAATGTGTGCCCCAAAAGCTCATTTTTTTCCTTTGTTGACTGAGTTATTGAAGTGCACAAATATAGCATCTTAGCTAATAGAAAGCCTTACAGCTTACAAAGTGTTCTTTTAGTTAACACTCCATCAAAAGCCATGGGGTGTTTATTCAAGTTTTTTTTCATTTTAAACTAGAGGAAATTGAGGACTACTTCATTTTGGGATGGGGCACTAAGAATTCAAGGAAACTGGCCCGACTGGTCACTAAGCACTAGAGTTAATTTTTAGCCCTGTGGTAACAAGGTCCATATCTACATGGCTGCTAGTGGTGTTAATCTTATTTTATGTTATTTCATTTAAATGATTCAAATTATGTTTTTTGCTCTAACTGAAGCTTGATCATTTGGAGATGTCTGGAATGGACGAGTCCAAATCAAGTTTAAAGGATGAAAGTCCAGTCCAGGAGAAGAGGGGATTTCATGCTTTCATTGCCAGATGGGAAGAATCACCAGAGAGGAACAAGTTTTATGAAATTTGGGAAAAACACAGCTTGTCAATTATCCTGGTTTGTGTAACAGTGGCTTTACTTGTCTACAGCATTGCTGCCATTGCTCATAGTGGATTTGACAAAGCTAAGCCATTGTTTGGACTCACCATGTTTCTGTGGTTTTGCATGACATACATGGTTATAAGTAACCATTGTGGAGCAGAAATCTATCAAGTGGTTTTGAAGCCAATTGCTGAGGCATTCAGCAGCCGATGGCGTTATTTGAAATGGTGAGTAGAAATTGTTCTTCGGCACAAGTTTCTAACTATGGAAAGAAGGATTTGTTAGGCAAATTTTTTTCCATGTAATAAGAAGTGAGGTGAAGTTTTAATACCTTTCATGAAGCTTTGTGACTGCAAGTAAAATTACATGTGTAGCTGTAGGGGTTATCTGTTGTGGATTGTAAACCTTATTTACGGTGGCCAACAACTGTTATGGCAATAACAAATACCTTCCAGCAAAACCAAAATTGTCACGGCAAAACCAAAAAGCTCACAGCAAAACCAAAAAACCCACCGCAAAATCAAAATGCTCACGGCAAAACCAAAAAGCTCACAGCAAAACCAAAAAACCCACCGCAAAATCAAAATGCTCACGGCAAAACCAAAAAGCTCATGGCAAAACCAGAAGCTCACGGCAAAATCAAAAGCTCATGGCAAAACCAAAGAGCCCGCAGAAAAATCAAGATGTTCATGGCAAAACCTAAAAGTTCACGGCAAAACCAAAAAGCTCACGAAAAAACCAAAAAACTTATGGCAAAACCAAAATGCTTACATGCTCACAGCAAAACCAAGGCTAGATCCATGGGTCCTGGACACTAATTGTGCGCGCAAAGGCCACTGGAGGGGTGTTAAAAAAACGAAGACCTAAGACCCCCTAAAATCGAATCCTTCGAAATATAAAGTCAAATTGTAACCAAAACAGGTCTAATCTGTCAAATTATCTCCTGTCCGATCCTTTCCACCGAGTTTTAGGTCAAATTTAACGGTAAATTTAGGGGTCTTAGTTTTCATAATTTTGAAAACTAATTAAGACCCCTACCAAACCAGTCTGTAAAATGTCTACAAAGTTGAATTATGACTGTGGACATATTAACTCAAGAACCCACAGAAAGCTAATTAATTAAGACCCCTAACTAATTAAGACCCCTAACTAACTAATTAAGACCCCTACCAAACCAGTCTGTAAAATGCCTTCAAAGTCGAATTACGACTGTGGACATATTAACTCAAGAACCCACAGAAAGCTCATATTTGATCAATTGAGCAAAAACACTGCTGTACTTGCAATATGGGAAAGCACTAACATCGATTTTATCTATTTCCAAACAAAGGAGTTTGTTTGGATATGGATAAAGGTACTCTGACCAGGTACTCCCCAATGTTTGTTTTCCAATTTGTCTGTAGAAAAACGCCATACACTACCTAGGTATAATTGTACCGCACTGAAAGTATGTCTTACCCCAATTGATCTTTAATTTTGTTGTTTATCTTGTAAATCATAAAATTGGCTTTCCATTGGAGATGGATGTGTTTCTACGTGCCTCTGCGATCGGGATTGTGTTACCTGTGACAGTGCTGAATAACTTATGCACATGTGCTAGGTTTTGGCGGATTGCATGTGGACATTAAATTAAGAGCCCACAGAAAGCTCATATTCAATAATAAATCTGGGTAGATTTCCCATGATACTGTAACATCACGAAGCGAAGAAATGTGACAAAAAAAGCAAAGAAAAAAATTATGTCTTCGCAAATGGTTTCACAACGTGGGGTGTAATCCAGCTGTCAAGGAAACTCTCCTAACAAGTCCAAGCTCCAGACAATAAAATTTCCCCAGTGGCAGAATTGGTCACATTTACTGACTTCTTTGTTTTTCCAATTTGTCAGCTAAGATTATTAAATTACAAAAACTAAGACTGTTAAATTTGACCTAAAACTCGGTGGAAAGGATTGGACAGGAGATAATTTGACAGATTAGACCTGTTTTGGTTATAACTTGACTTTACATTTTGACGGATTCAATTTTAGGGGGTCTTAGTTTTTGAAATCTCGAAAACTAAGATGGGTCTTGATTAATAATAATTATAATAATAATAATTATAATAATAATAATTATAATAATAATAATAAACAGTTTTTAATGTGGAGAAACACTTAGCTAGAAGCTAGTTTACAGGTTTTCCACCAAACAACTGAAAAAAATAATTCAAATTGAAAATAACATTATTAAGAATCCCAACTGGCTGAAGGCAAACCAGTTGGCTATATTACAAGTATGGTCAAGGATCTTAGTTTTCGTAACACCCCTCCAACCTCCAACAGCCTTTGCGCACACAATTAGTGTCCAGGACCCACTGATCTGGTTTTGGTTTTGCTGTGTGAGCATTTTGGTTTTGCTGTGCCCTTTTGATTTTGCCGTGAGCTTTTTGGTTTTGCCATGAGCTTTTTGGTTTTGTCATGAGCTTTTTGGTTTTGCCATGAACATTTTTGTGTTGCCGTGGGCGTTTTGGTTTTTGCCATGGGCTTTTTGGTTTTGCCGTGAGCTTTTTGGTTTTGCCATGACAATTTTGGTTTTGCTGGGAGGTATTTGTTATTGCCGTGACAGTTGTGGGCCACCGTACTTATTGTACTGATATGCTAACAGCATGAGTTGTAACAGAAAATAGAATGGAAAGATTTATCTTGTTTCAACCTTATTAAGAGCTTGTACATCAATAAGAAGGACAGACAAGATTAAAAGGTATCCTCTCTCAATACCAATGATATATTTTTTTTACCAGGATTCTTTTGGTTGTTGTGGTGGTCTTACTGGGAGTATTTTTTGGATTGGACACTGCCAAGAAACCTGAGCGTTTTATTTCCCTTGCTGGATTGGCTTTGAACATCCTCTTCTGCTGGATTTTCTCAAAACACCCAAGAAAGGTAAATTTTTTTTCCCTCTTTGTTTAGTTATTTTTTTAAAAAAAGATAACTATATGTTAGCGTATAGATTGGTGTATTGTGGTGTAGTGTAATCTGATCAGCGCAATTTGGTGTATCTCTAAGCAATCTGATTGGCGCATCTTTTTTTTGGTGTATTTCAACGCAATGTGATTGGCCCAATTTTTTGGTGTATCACAAACCAATCAGATTGTAGTATTTTTCGATGTCGCAACAATCAGAGCGTTCTTGCTAATTTGTGGTTTGACATGTCTTCAAATTTTAGCGAATCAACACATGAGTTGGAGAGAGTGGTTCGCGAATTAAGGAAATGTATCAGTCGTGTTGTGAAAGCGGTGGAGTTATGATCGTTGTACGACTATGCTTATTCTTCCTTCTGAAGGAGACTGAGTGGAACATGTGAAAAATTTTGAATCAAATATTACTTCAGATATTGATAGGAGCAACTTCAGGATCTTTCATTGCTATATATGAGTTAGTCAGCAATTCCAATTTTGAATTTCGCTCAAGGAACAAGGTGAGATGACATCTACAAGAGTTGTAAGATCATTTATTCAATGTAATGGCTCATGTCCTTCGTGAGGATTTTATCGCTATGATCTGTCTGGATTTGAAAGGTCGTCAGGGAACTTTTTCTACCGATTAGCGAGTTAAAACGTGCATGTTTTGTGTACCGCTCCTTTACTTGCGACGCACACACCATCAGCTTAAGGCCAACACTAATTTAGCGTTATAGCGTGTTGTTTTGGAAGGGCTAGTTTTGCTGACTCTGGTAAACCTGTGCGAGACATTTGCATAAATCACATTTGATTGATTATCTTTTTTTTTTGCCACATGGTTGCTCTTTTAGCAGCGGTTCCAACGACCACCAAGTTACATTTACTTTCTGCGTCGACTGCCTTGTTACATATCCGTTTCTTTGCTTCTAAAAGTTCTCTAAGAATTATATATTGTTTAAACAATATTTTCCCGTTACAATTGCGTGTTTACTTTTTACTCGCCAGTATGGATTAAACTTTCTTAGATGAAATGCCATTTTCCAGTAAACAACGTAAATTTTATGACATAAATCTACCTCAATGAAAAATATTTCACAAGGGACAGAATTGTACGGTTGGTTAATTTTCCACGCAACTCTCCTAAAATTTGCTTTAAGCTAACCTGGACTTTACCCCATTGCGTGTCAATTTCCTGTAAACAACCTGCATTTTATCATCACGTATTTCGCACACACAGGGCAAAGTCCAGATAGGCAACAACCAATCAAGTAGCCCACCTTATTATCCTTTGAAGAGTGATACTTTCTCTTGGTTCAATCTACTTTCACTTGTTTGAAGAATGGAGACCGGAAAGTATCTTTGTCCAGAGGCTGTAAGAGATCAAATAGAGCTTTACACTGCAAAATTACATGGAAGATTATTTTGAGGCAACCATCTGGTACTGAACAAGAGGCTACACGAAGCCTATATTTGGGCCGGATTTGTGGATCAGCGGATCGAATTGAATTGGTTCGAATTGAGGGCTTTGCTGTTTCAGCAAAATCGCTGTCGAGTGCTTTTTATGGTTTGTTAACATGGAGAGTTATGGAGACTAAGACTTTGGAACAAGTCGATGCCATCCATGACAATTTGGGAAAACTAAAATCGCCAGAGGAAATGCAGGATCACTCATTAAAAATTTGCATTTGAACACGATGATTTTGCTTACAAGGATTTCTCTTGCTTACATCTAATAACAAACCTTTGAAGTTTTTTTTGCCTCGGAACGATAATAGT